TTCCATGTATAAGATGACCCTCAATTTTTAGTCTAAAGATTTTAGACAAAAGTATAGTCTTATATATGGAAAAATACAGTATTTATTCATTTAATTAGATTTATATTTCACCTTTTGTAAGAAATAAATAAATAAAAAGAAAAATCACAAAAAAGAATAAAACCTATGGTGATTTTGAACTGTGTGTATATAGTGTATATGTTTTTGTTGTGTTGATGGTAAGTGCCTGGGGCTAATTCACAAAATGACACACAAGGGAAAATACCAGACACTGACTCCTTTTTTTTTTAACCTCCCCCAAACACGAAGCAATTGTCAGGGCTATTTTTTGACAAGTGAGAATGCTAGTGAGCACGAGAGGCTATCCTGTAGACCTCGCTTCGATGACTCTGTCCATCCATCTCATCCTCTGTCGTCTCCTCTTTTCCTCACACTTTCCCAAGCTAGCCAATTCCCTCTAAGACACGTTGACAAACCTTACCAATACCTTAATAAGGTTATATTCATTACAATATCATGTTTCTGACCCTGCTCATTTGAAATCTTCCCTTCTGGACATCGAGCGCAAGCGTAGCAACAAAATGGCTTCCCTTCCTTCTTTTGCCTGCTGTATCCTGGAATACAAGGCTCATTACACAAGGAAAGGGGCACAGCCTATTCAGATAAAAAGAGAGAACAGTATTGATTTAATAGACGCTGCCAATACAAAGTTCACTGAGCAGAGTACTCTTTAGCGCATGAGAGCCAATACATACATCAAATTAATTAGTCTGATCCTACCTCATTAAACTGTGTTTGCCATGTAATGATGTTCTCGTCAACGAAGAACTGTCTGTCCAGTGAGGCTTGTGGGTCCATTCTCCCCACTTTAACTTTTAGAAAAGAATTGTTGGGGAAGGTAACCCAGTTAACAATATCAAACCCTGCTCTCAGTTCACCCTTCTGATCAAAGGAGATTTCATCCCCAGCGCTGTTGTTAAATGAGACGCCGGACAGAAATCGGTGAAGCTGGAAAGAAAAACATTGAGGGGAGTTAAAATCATCTTCAGGAGTTAAGGTATATGTAACCAAATACATATTCTACGATCCTATGGATAACCTGGAAAAGACCCTGATGCTGGGAAAGTGTGAGGGCAAGAGGAGAAGGGGACGACAGAGGATGAAATGGATGGACAGTGTCATCAAAGCGACCAACATGAATTTGACCCAACTCTGGGAGGCAGTGAAGGACGGGGGGGCTGCTGTGCTGTAGTTCATGGGGTCACAAAGAGTTGGACAGGACTAAACGACTAAACAACAACAAAGTAAATATTTGCATATTAACCTCTATTTTATCCCTGCTTTGGATGGGCAAATGTTATAGGGTGGAGATGCGATTGGCCCCCACCCTCCTGAGATTTCAGAAGCAAGTTAAAACCTGACTTTTTAAGCAGGCCTTTACAAGCCTTACCCCTTTGTAATATCACCACATTTTCCCATGTATATGACCCCTCCCAATGTATAAAACGACCCCCTAATTTTGACCCTTGCTGGAAGCGGAGGAGCAGTTAAAGGCCACTGCTCCTCAACCTCCATCTCTTCTGTTGCTGCTGCCTCCGTTGCCCACCCGATCGCCTGGGTTCGTAGGATCGTAGAATAATTGAATTAGAAGGGGCGTATAAGGCCATTGAGTCCAATTCTCTGCTCAATGTAAGAATCCAACTCAAAGCAGATCTGACAGATGATTGTCCAATTTTCTCTTGAATGCCTCCAGTGTGGAATGCTCACCACCTCCCAAGGGCATTGGTTCCATTGTCATACAGCTCTAACAGTAAATAGGTTTTTCCTGATACTCAGTCTAAATCTGTCTTCCTGAAGCTTGAGCCCATTATTACATGTCCTGCTTTCTGGGATGATCAGCTTTTTTTTGTTTTTATGTGTTTATTATCTTAATTTATGTTGTATATTTATGTTATTTTCTTAGACGGCACCCAGAGTAGGTGGCTGGTCTACTAGATGAGTGAGGTATAAGTTCAAATGAATGAATGAATGAATGAATGAATGAATGAATGAATGACATTGTGACATGAAAAATCTTCTTGGGAAGATACTGGTTGTCTTGTCCCTTTAAAGGTCCCATGTACAATTCTTTAGCATATAATCATTATCATTTTTTATGACATTTGCCATTTCTTAATGTAGTAGCTGCAGCAGGAACCACCACCACTACCACCACAACACAGATCTTACTTCCATCTAGCTTTTACCTGAAAATATTGTGGCTTCGAAGTCTCCAGATGGTTTCCGCCCACTATTGCCACAGGTTTAGTTCTTGATGAATACATGGCATGGAAGGCATGTGCTACAACATAGATGGCATTGTAGATGCTGTAGCTTTGACTGGTCATGCTCCTTTCAAATATAGGTCCAGGAAGGCTTTCTAGCTTCTCTTCACCAGTGCATATTTTCGTGTTCTCAGTGCCTTGCTCAGTATTTGGAAACAAGCAGCTGAAGGCTTGTTCCCAGAAGATTCTAATAAAGCCATCACTCTCGGAATGAGGATTCTGGATGTGGAGGAAATTTTGGAATTGTCGTACCTCAGTGGAATGAATGGCAAAGGACAAAGCACCATGGAAAACCTGTGTATCCAAATATTGGACAAATGGTTCCATGGAAAAATCCCAGTGGGCTGTCATAACCCACACTTTGTTCAATGGAACCATAGAACTGGATGCGTGCAGATTGAGAGCCACCTGCAAATCTAACATCATATGAGCATCAGCACTAACAAGACACACATTAGTAGTGGATTCTATTAGCGTTGTTGTAATGTTCGTAAAGAAATCGTAGAAGTTCACAACATCTAAAATGTTGCTCTGTATTGGCATTCTTCTGGTGAAGGCAATGCAAATATCATTCTGAGAAAACAGATCTTCCAAAGTCTGCACAAATTTTTCTCCCTTATCGTCACCCATGGCCATGATTCCAACCCACTTCCACTGGAAGTGATGAAGTAACTTAACCATCCCTGTGTACTGGTGCGTTTCACTAGGGACCATACGATACAAGGAAGAGCGCTCAGTTACATCACTTGTTGTTGGAGCATATAAACAGTAGGTAATCTGAACAAGAGAAGACATTTCCTTTCACAGATAAGAAATATATGAAGTATCCCAGAATTATATATGAATTATATATCATCACTGAAACCCATTTGAGTCTCAGATCACTCCCTCCTTCACATATCGACATTGGTGTCTTGTGTATACTGAAGCCCATCAGATCTGAAATGCACAAAGACAATGGAAGTATCATAAGAGCCTTGTCTTTTAGATTTGTCTATGTTTGCATCAAATAACTTTACATTGGGTCTACTACGGGCCATTAAAAATGATCCAATCTGTTTCGTTCGCCTTTAGAATATAAAAGACCTCTCAATGGAAGGTTGAAATATGTCGGTGTTGACTGTGCTGTTTTAGCAAACAGAACCTATGTAGCTACAGATTCTGAGCTTTGCCACCTTGTTGCTTTGAGTCACACAAGATTTGGTTCTGTGATTTCATACAGAATTTGTAATCGCATGATATTATCTTGGCTGTTATGAACAGATTGTTTACCCAAATGTGTTAAAATATCCTGTGCTGTAACTACTGGATAGCCAGAGGTTGGGGGCTTGGTTTCCTACTGTGCTGGCCCCTTCCAGGTCTGGAGTTCTAAGAATATTAACATTAAATTTGGAACGGGCATTTTAGGATGGGTATCCCAGATTAGGACAGGTCCTGAAGCTGAAGCTCCAATACTTCGGCCATCTCATGAGAAGAGAAGACTCCCTGGAAAAGACCCTGATGTTGGGAAAGTGTGAAGGCAAGAGGAGAAGGGGACGACAGAGGACGAGATGATTGGACAGTGTCATCGAAGCGACCAACATGAATTTGACCCAACTCCAGGAGGCAGTGGAAGACAGGAGGGCCTGGCGTGCTCTGGTCCATGGGGTAACGAAGAGTTGGACACAACTTAATGACTAAAC